AAAACTAAAACTGCCCTTTTCCAAAGCTCTGCAAACTGAAAGTGGTGTCTGTAAGCTTCAGAAAAATCACGACAACAGAGCACGTATGGACAATCTCAATGCCTGCTGCTATATGGGTCACTGAGAAAGTTTACCAGAATATTTAATGATATAACCAGAGACATTCAAACTGCAAACCGGAAAATCACATCACATTGCAACTGCCATCTTCAGTACACCATTTAAACTTGCTTCAAATTCTCACCTAGAAATTGTTTCACCTAGCTGCCCTCTAAACTCAAAAACTAAGATCATAATTTGCTCCAAATATTAACTTCAGTTTTTTTTTTTTTTTTTTTTTTTGAGACGGAATTTCACTCATGTTACCCAGGCTGGAGTGCAATGGCGCGATCTCGGCTCACCGCAACCTCCGCCTCCTGGGTTCAGGCAATTCTCCTGCCTCAGCCTCCTGAGTAGCTGGGATTACAGGCACGCACCACCATGCCCAGCTAATTTTTTGTATTTTTAGTAGAGACGGGGTTTCACCATGTTGACCAGGATGGTCTCGATCTCTTGACCTCGTGTTCCACCCGCCTCAGCCTCCCAAAGTGCTGGGATTACAGGCTTGAGCCACCGCGCCCGGCCCTAACTTCAGTTTTTTAATAGACTAATACCCTAAATTCCTCTTAAGCAATACAATAGAAAATGAGCCAAGTTAGCCTCAACAACACCCTACAATAGGAGTTCTTGATACCTTCGCAGCTTAACAAGGAGGAGCTGGTGTTCCCACTGATGTCAAAAGAAATGCTTAAAAATCTCAATTGGCTTTATGGTGATTCTAGAACTGGGCAACACTTGCCTCCTTAAATTAGAATAAGGTTTCCAATGAGTTACAGCAGAGGAGGTTGGCCTCAAAGACAGAAAAAGGTCTGAAGAAAGCAGAAACAAAGAATTTAAAGTGGATTGGCTATTTTAAAGTTGGTTAAAGTTGCAAAAGAGAGGAATAGGGAAACAGAATAAGAAATAACTGGTTGATTAACATCAGGTTACTTTTTTGTAAGGATTAAAACATGCCAATTGAAACTGGCCTGTTTGGGAAATTAGGTTGTTATCTCTCTCTCCTGATTTTTCTAAAGGCCAGATAACAATGTAGTTTCTGTTTAGTGACTTAAAACTTTAGCATGGGTGATTCCATTTTGATTTTTAATCTGTTCTGTTTGGGGCTAGTACAGGAGCTTAGTCCAAAACAATAGCCTCCTAAAGTTTAAAAGACTTTAAAGAACAAAGATGAGTTTTTCATCACCTAATATTAATTTATATTCATTAATTTATTCAGTTGGTTAAGTCTTAGCTCTCGAGAATCTTTGCTCAGAGGAATTTTTCAATCCTTGGCTATTATTCTCCTTATAGTTATTGTAGTTACCTCCCTGGTGCATTGAAGTCCCTTATGAGTTTTAAATGCTTTCCTGCAGCCACTTGGACATCAAACGATTGCCATCAGAGCGAGACAACATGAAGAAACCAACAGTGATTATGAAACGGTTGATGGCGGCTACATGACTCTGAACCCTAGGGCACCTGCTGAAGACGATAAGAACCTCTACCTGACTCTTCCTTCCAACAATTATGTCAACAGTTATAACTGAAAGTAACATTGTGCCATGTGGTCACAGTCTCAGCTTGCTGAGTGGATAACAAAAAGAGGGGAACCGTTAAAGCAAAATTGAAATGGAGACTGGAAAAATTCCTGAGCAAACAAAACCACCTGGGCCTTAGAAATAGCTTTAACTTTGCTTAAACTACAAACATAAGCAAAATTCACTGGGGTCATACTAGAAGCATAGTCAAAACTTAACTGTTTATGTTAGAAATAAGACAACCCCAGCCAATTATAAGCGCCTACTAAGATATAATTATGTGGCTAAGGACTTTCTAACAAGACACCCACCCCCCAAAAACAATTATGTAATTGAAAATCAATTAAATGTCTTTATTGTGTTTCTACATTTTCCCAATAAATACTTGCCTGTGACATTTTGCCACTGGAACACTAAACTTTTGGTTTGGGGTTGCCCAATTCATGAACTGCTTCTTACTCAAATTACTTTTTAAAAGTATATTGTTCCTCAAATTTTTACTTTAACATTTTTTTTTGAAACAGAGTTTTAATCTGTGGCCCAGGCTGGAGTGCGGTGGTGCTATCTTGGCTCACTGCAAACCCTGCCTCCCAAGTTTAAGTGATTCTCGTGCCTCAGCCTCCCAAGTAGCTGGGATTATAGGCGTGTGCCATCACGCCCAGCTAATTTTTGTATTTTTTTTTTAAGTAGAGGTAGGGTTTTGCCATGTTGGCCAGGATGGTCTCAAACTTCTGGCCTCAAGTGATCTGCCCGCCTTGGCTTCCCAAAGTGCTGGGATGACCAGCATCAGCCACCATGCCTGGCCCCTTAAACATCATCTTTCCTATGCCCTCTCTGTGGATCCCTACAGCTGGTTTCTGCCTTTTCCAAGCTGAGAACAAAATCACCTATTCACTGTGTATACAGTCCAAAGCTCCAGAAGGAAAAACAGCTCAATTACCAGAACCATATTAAGTCTCCATTGTCTTGCCCTGGGATTTGAGAAGAGAATTAGAGAGGTGAGGATTTGCTATTTCCTGGACTAAGTTCCCCTTGGGGAAGACGAGAGAGCATGCTGCAGTTCCAAAAGAGAACTCTTCCAGAGTCATCTGAGTCCCCGAAGCTCCGTGTCCTCAAAGCCACAGAAAATATGGTCCCAGATGACTGACTGCACCTTCTGCGCCTCAGCCCTCTTGGTATCAAGAATCTTCTGTTCCACATCCACATAGCCAATACAATTAATCAAACCACTGTTGTTAACAGTGGTTTGTATAGATTGTAGCAACATGAGAAATGCTTATGTTACAGGTTACATGAGAACAATCATGTAAGTCTATATGATTTCAGAAATGTTAAAACAGACTAACCTCTAATAACAAATTGAAAGTGATTGTTTCAAGGTAATGGAATTATTAATGACCTATTTTCTTTCTTTATTTTTAAATAATGATCATATATTATTTTTGTAATAAAACATTATAACCACAACATTCTGTTTACCTTTTCAGGGCTGTATTGGTTGGGGTGTAGACTGAGCTATCTGGGGTCAGTTTCTTTTCATTGATGAAAATTTTGAGAAGGTAGTAATGGATAGGATGTGGGGGAGAGGAGAGATGGGGATTTGGAGTCTAGGGTGAATGCCCCTCTTCTTGAAACTGAATACTCTTCTTCTAATGAACTTGTATTCTTATCTCCATGTCTTCTTCTCTCTTCTCCTATGGCAAGTAAAACGCTCACTTTGTTTTGCAATACAAGTTCTCAGAAAGGCAAACTTCAGATTGGCGGTCAGTGGAGATAGCTGACATGTCCTGCTCTGCTATTTTCCCAGTGAGGTTACCAGATGATGTAACCTTCTCAGAGAAGCCATTCTAGGCTGATTAAAAACACGACTGACAGTCTCCTTGACAGTTTGGTGAGTGCCCTTAAAAAGCCTTCCATTTTCCTGGGACACAACATCATTGTGCAAACTTTTTCTTGCATTTGAAATTTAGCAGCTTCCTCTGTTGGATAATTTACATTGATTTTTAAGAAGGCTATGGAGCTTCCACCCACCCTTTAGCTTCCAGACCCTATGAATTAGTCCTTTCTCACGCTGCTATGAAGAAATACCTGAGACCGGGTAATTTACAAGGAAAACAGGGTTAAGTGACTCACAGTTCCTCATTGCTGGGGAGGCCTCAGGAAACTTACAATCATGGCAGAAGGCAAAGAAGAAGCAGGCACCTTCTTCACATGGTGGTTGGACGGAGTGAGTGCAAGCAGGGAAAGTGCTGGACGCTTATAAAACCATAAGCTCTCGTGAAACTCACTCACTATTATGAGAACAGCATGGGGAAAAACCACCCACATCATCCAATTGCTTCTGCCTGGCCTCACCTTTGACACGTGGGGATTACAATTCAAGATGAGATTTTGGGTGGAGACACAGCCAAACCATATCACCCTAGACAGAGACTCCTCGAATACACAAAACCTTAGTAGATCCTGCTTTTACATTAAAATGCACCCAGCAATCTGACTGCTTCTTGATATTCTACTCCCACCAGCCTGGTCCAAGCCACCATTATTTATTTCTCACTTGAATTACTGCAATAGCCTCCTGACTGGCCTCCCTCCAGTCACCCTTGACATCCTATAGTCTCTCCTCACCACAGCAGCTGTTGTGATCTTTTAAAATTATGTGTCATACTTGTCACTTCTTTTCTCAAAATCATACATTAATTAGCTTCCCTTTGCAACTGGAGTAAAGGCAAGAGCCTTTGCAATGTTCTACAAGATGCCACAGGACCTTGATGATCTTGCTCTTCACTCTCTCAGACCTCATCTCCTACTGCTTTTCCTTGCTTGCTTTGGGTCACTGTTGCTCTTCCTTGAACATGCCAATTATACTTCTGCCCAGAGCCTATTTCATTTCCTATTTCTGGAATGTTCTTTCTCACAGACCCACATCATGCCTCATTATGTCCTATAGGTCTTTACTCACATGTCACCTTATCAGTGAGGTCTCCTTGATCATTTAGTATAACCCATCTCCCCTTCCATACACCTAATGTCCCTTTCCTGCTTTATTTTTCTCCATTGTATTATTAATATATGTTTACCTGTTTGTTTTGTGTCTGACTTCCCTGCTCCTCTCATTAGAATGTGAGCTCCAGGAGAAGCCTTTGTCTGTTTTATTCATTACCACATACTCAGAACCCAGGTTAGTGTCTGGTGCGTGATAAAGCACTTAGTAAATATGTGCAGAATGAATAAATTCCTCGATGTTTGAAATCAGAGACTTTTAAACTGGGAACTCCTTAGAAACAATATAGCCCAATCACTTCATTTTAAAATTGAGGAAGCTGTGGCCCAGACATGTGAAATTACTTGTTCAAGGACATACAGGTAGTGGATGTCACTGACCTTTATATACATACAGTTTGGATTATACTATAAATTTAGTTCTACAGTGAAATTGTTTGGCTGTGTCTCCACCCAAATCTCATCTTGAATTCCTATGTGTTGTGGGAGGGACCCAGTGGAAGGTAACTGAATCATGGGGCAGATGTTTCCCATGCTGTTCTTGCGATAGTGAATAAGTTTCATGAGATCTCATGGTTTTAAAAAGGGGAGTTTCCCTGCACAAGCCCTCTCTTCTCTTGTTTGCCACCATGTGAGACATGACTTTCACTTTCACCATGATTGTGAGGCCTTCCCAGCCACGTAGAACTGTTAAGTCCATTAAATCGCTTTCTTTTTGTAAATTGCCCAGTCTCGGGTATGTCTTTATTTGTAGTGAGAGAACAGACTAATATACAGCTTGCTTTTTTTTGTACTCAATATTGAGTTGTGAGCATTGCATCACTTTATAATGTCTATTTAAGTTATTACTTTAAGGTTGGTTCTACTTTTAAAGCTATTCAAACTAAGCTACTAAACATAAGTGGATATATTTAAGTGTATGTATGAAACTTTTACCAGGCCAGCTTCGGTGGCTCATGCCTATAATCCCAGAGCTTTGGAGGGTGGAGGTGGGATTGATTGAGATCAGGAGTTCAAAGCTGCAGTGAACTGTGATTGCACCACTGTACTCCAGACTAGGGGACAGAGTGAACCAGAAAAAATAAAATAAAATAAAATGAAACAGACAAAAAACTCCAACAATCCTTCAGTGGCTCTTTTGTTTTAAGGAAAACAAACAGAACCAAACTGTACTGCATGCATAAGCTCTCCATGCTATGTTTGAACCTCTCTGAAGAGATCAATTAAAAAGCAGTGAATTACATTGGAAGCATGCCTGTATGATGCCATGGTAACGTTCATAGGCTGCATCAGGGCTATAACCGTAACCCTTGGGGGTGAGTGGGTAAGTGCGGTTTTGAGGTGGCTGGGGGCTGGAAGAGAAGGTTGGAGGAACCCACATTAAGGCAGTCCCTGAACAAGCCAGGGCACAGATCCCCAGGCCGGGCCAACTTTTCCCTGCTGAGGTGAAGACCCATCTCTTGCAGGCTGTTGGCAAACATCTTGACTCTGGCATCCAGGTGTGGCCAACTTTGACCCTGAGAGTGTGTGAATTTAAATCTGACAGTTTCTTTCCCTCCTGGAGTTATGAAATCGGTTACTCCTTTTTGAGGATGGTTTGATTTTCCACTATGGAAGTCATCTATTGCACGTTTCTTCAAACATTCCTTTTTTTCCTGGACTGATCACCTTACCAGTACCGCTGATCTCTCAAGCAGCAAACTCTACCAGCTGTCACTGGTGCTCTTGGAGAGAGGACTGACCAAGAACCCCAGCCCAGGAACAGCACTAACCTCTATTTCTGGACGTCTGCCTCCCTCTGAAAAGGTCCCTGGAACCTCCTAGTGGGTTCTAACCTGTCAAAGGAAAAAACAGCCACCTATGGAGTAAGGGTTTTTAGTTTCTTGTTTTACAAATGGAAGTTTCCTTTGAATCAAGCAAGTAATGTTAAGTAAAAGCCAATTTTTAAGTTTCTCTAATACATTCCTAAATTATAACACCAAAATATACCACATACTCTCCAGCTGCCAACCATTACAGTTGCCATCCTTGCTACTATAGTGGTGAGCATCTCTGCCTATCATGTGGGAGAGAGGGGCTTGATTCCCAGACGGGGAGGTGACGGAAAATTCTGTGAGGATTTTTCAGGCTTCAGAAGTCTCAGAAATATCTCCTTGTTTTGGCTTTCAGTAGAAATCCGAACACCAGAAGATCTGAATGAAATGTTCTGGATTAAAGTGGGAAACAGCCTCAATTCACAAAGTCACAGGCTTGATGGAAAACAGTGTGACATTACTGCCCAGTGAACCCATGGCGTCCTCCAGCCTTTAGGATGTAGGTTGGACTGGGGCCTGTAGTAGTAGTTTACTCTCCAGCTGAGTCCTGGTCTCCAGCTTGTAACCCACTTTAGGCCATAGAGAAAAACGCACACTGTGCCTCTCCACCAGGCCTCTAGAGAGGAGGCTCCTCGGGGATACAAACGCTGGGGAGAACACGAGGGACATCTGCGTTCACCTTACCCGGGTGCTGCATTCTCCCTTGGATCGAGCGGCGAGGTCTCTCCCGTCCTAGGGCTACAGCGATGTCACGTCTCCTCTGAGGAACGTGGTAAAAGGAGACAGAACAAAACTGGAAGGACCTAAAGTCTTCGGCCACCTGGTTTCATTTACTCAAGAGTCATTAATCCAAGCTTGGAGAAAGAACTGAAGTTAATCGGAAAGGTTAAGCAAAAGAATTGAAATTAGTCGGAAAAAAAAAGTTATACGTGCATTGGCCGGGAATCGAACCCGGGCCTCCCGCGTGGCAGGCGAGAATTCTACCACTGAACCACCAATGCCACCTGTGTAAGGGTGTTTGCAGTATTATCCCTTAAGGCTTATCATCTCTGGCCACTCAAGCAATCAATCCACTTAAATTGAGATTTCGAAAATATTTTGTTCAAGATACAACTGTTTTAAGATACATGTATATATATCTGCTATACCTGTCTTCGCACGGTAACGTGTTTTCGGCCCTCCTGAGCCTCTGGACTCGCAGCGGCCCTCCAAGGCAGCCCGCGGGCCTGTGCGCCGCGGGGATCCGACCTCCCCCAGCCCCGGAGAGACCTTCCTCTCCAGCTGCTGCCTTTGCGGCCTCTGCCACAGCCGCGCGTCCTCAGCGCCCGCCGGGAGGAGCTGGCACCTTCCCCGCGTTTCTTTCCGCAGCCATGAGTCAGAGGCGGGCGGGGCTAGGGTAGCAGCTCAGCCCCGGGCCTCGCGACCCGATCCGCCCGAACCTTCTCCCGGCGTCAGCGCGGCGCCGTCCCGCTGAGTCAGCCCGGGCGGGCGGGAAGCTCTCGGCCGGCCGGGAAGCTGCGGGAAGGTTCGCGGCGGCGCAGGCGGGAGGAGGCGCAAGCGGATAAAAAGCCCGTGGAAGCGAAGCCGAGCAGATCCGAGCCGGGCTGGCTGGAGAGAAATCGCCGGGAGCGCCCACAGCGGAGCGCCCTTCGACTGCTGAGCGGCGGCAGCCTCGACAGCCTTGAGCATCCACGAGAGGCTTCAGCCATGCAGGCCCCACGGGAGCTGGCGGTGGGCATCGACCTGGGCACCACCTACTCGTGCGTGGGCGTGTTCCAGCAGGGCCGCGTGGAGATCCTGGCCAACGACCAGGGCAACCGCACCACGCCCAGCTACGTGGCCTTCACCGACACCGAGCGGCTGGTCGGGGACGCGGCCAAGAGCCAGGCGGCGCTGAACCCGCACAACACGGTGTTCGACGCCAAGCGGCTGATCGGGCGCAAGTTCGCGGACGCCACGGTGCAGGCGGACATGAAGCACTGGCCCTTCCAGGTGGTGAGCGAGGGCTGCAAGCCCAAGGTGCGCGTGTCCTACCGCGGGGAGGACAAGGCGTTCTACCCCGAGGAGATCTCGTCCATGGTGCTGAGCAAGATGAAGGAGACGGCCGAGGCGTACCTGGGCCAGCCCGTGAAGCACGCTGTGATCACCGTGCCCGCCTACTTCAATGACTCGCAGCGCCAGGCCACCAAGGACGCGGGCGCCATCGCGGGGCTCAACGTGCTGCGGATCATCAACGAGCCCACGGCGGCCGCCATCGCCTACGGGCTGGACCGGCGCGGCGCGGGAGAGCGCAACGTGCTCATTTTTGACCTGGGTGGGGGCACCTTCGACGTGTCCGTTCTCTCCATTGACGCCGGTGTCTTTGAGGTGAAAGCCACTGCTGGAGACACCCACCTGGGTGGAGAGGACTTCGACAACCGGCTGGTGAACCACTTCGTGGAAGAATTCCGGCGGAAGCATCGGAAGGACCTGAGCGGGAACAAGCGGGCCCTGCGCAGGCTGCGCACAGCCTGTGAGCGCGCCAAGCGCACCCTGTCCTCCAGCACCCAGGCCACCCTGGAGATTGACTCCCTGTTCGAGGGCGTGGACTTCTACACTTCCATCACTCGTGCCCGATTTGAGGAACTGTGCTCAGACCTCTTCCGCAGCACTCTGGAGCCGGTGGAGAAGGCCCTGCGGGATGCCAAGCTGGACAAGGCCCAGATCCATGACGTCGTCCTGGTGGGAGGCTCCACTCGCATCCCCAGGGTGCAGAAGTTGCTGCAGGACTTCTTCAACGGCAAGGAGCTGAACAAGAGCATCAACCCTGATGAGGCTGTGGCCTATGGAGCCGCTGTGCAGGCGGCCGTGTTGATGGGGGACAAGTGTGAGAAAGTGCAGGATCTTCTGCTGCTGGATGTGGCTCCCCTGTCTCTAGGGCTGGAGACAGCAGGTGGGGTGATGACTACGCTTATCCAGAGGAATGCCACTATCCCCACCAAGCAGACCCAGACTTTCACCACCTACTCCGACAACCAGCCTGGGGTCTTCATCCAGGTGTATGAGGGTGAGAGGGCCATGACCAAGGACAACAACCTGCTGGGGCGCTTTGAACTCAGTGGCATCCCTCCTGCCCCACGTGGAGTCCCCCAGATAGAGGTGACCTTTGACATTGATGCTAATGGCATCCTGAGCGTGACAGCCACTGACAGGAGCACAGGTAAGGCTAACAAGATCACCATCACCAATGACAAGGGCCGGCTGAGCAAGGAGGAGGTGGAGAGGATGGTTCGTGAGGCCGAGCAATACAAGGCTGAGGATGAGGCCCAGAGGGACAGAGTGGCTGCCAAAAACTCGTTGGAGGCCCATGTCTTCCATGTGAAAGGTTCTTTGCAAGAGGAAAGCCTTAGGGACAAGATTCCCAAAGAGGACAGGCGCAAAGTGCAAGACAAGTGTCAGGAAGTCCTTGCCTGGCTGGAGCACAACCAGCTGGCAGAGAAGGAGGAGTATGAGCATCAGAAGAGGGAGCTGGAGCACATCTGTCGCCCTGTCTTCTCCAGGCTCTATGGGGGGCCTGGTGTCCCTGGGGGCAGCAGTTGTGGCGCTC